AGGAGTGTCTACCCGTAAATCACTCCTAAAAACATATTTTTTTGCATTATAAATTTTATTTTTTAGTTCACTAGCAAGGACCACGCCGACAATGACATAGTGCAATTAAGAAGTTTATTGATAATGTACGAGACGGGGCAGAGATGGCTGGATAGAGACTTTGGGTGGGGGCTCCATCTTAATCTTCAATTGGCCCAGTAGGAATGGGACCCCCCTCGTAGGCGACTTATGGCTGTAAGACAAACAAGATAGGGGCTGGGAGGGTGGGGCAGAGTTAGCTGAGACAAACTGGGGTGATGGGAAAGGCTGCTACATATAGGCTTCTGGGAAATTAGAGGTGTGGTCAAAGTGAGTTGTGGTTCGCTGGCAAGGAGAAGAGGGCGGTTGAGGCATGGTCCTGCTCCTGAATCTCAGTTAATCATATTAACTCCACATTTCTTATTGTTAATTAACTTGAGTACCTTGTGTCTTACTGTTTTCTGTGTTTTTAATATTTGTATTGTGACTTTGACTGTGATTGTCTTTGTCTACTCTGTGATTGTGTACAGCTCTTTGACTAACTGTAAAATACTTTATAAATAAAAATTTGTATGATATGGAAGTTGTATTTGCAGAGCAGAGGTCACTGATATTAATATATGAATCCAATGCATTAATATTATTGCTATTTTTTTTATTATTACTATTAATACTATTGCTTTTTTACATGAGACACATACAGTTTATATGATTATGATAACAAAGAAACTTCATTGGATTTTCTTATTTCAACATTAAACCTTCAGTCATTTGTGAAAAGCATTATGGCTCACTGTAGACCCCTCCCCTCACCATAGAATAAGTATAAGGAATTCCACCTGCTCATAAAGTAAACAGAGAAATTCATCACTATATTGAATCTTGGCTCCATGATGTATTGTATTTGCATAAGCACACAGCTCCTGACTTCTCCGCGTGCAGATCTGCGTTCAGGCGGAATAATCAAATAACGTGGTACACTCTTAGCTTTCCAATATGATTAAGCCAGGTCGCCATTTACAGAGGCTAATTTAGAATGAGCTGTGATTAGCTGTCTCCACCCTCCCAGGCGTTTAAATAGAGCACAGTTTGACCCAGCTGGGAATATGACAACTAGCATCTGATTTCCCTTAGAGCTGTGTATTTCTCTGCTCTTCTCTGTAATAGGACTTTCAGAGACAAGAGATTGGTGTCATATGTACAAATTGGCCATAGCATTATGACCAGATTATATTATTATTGGTATCAAAGAAGGCAACCTAGGGCAACCTGTCAAGAGCAGTGTGCAATAAAAGGAATAGGACCATTAAGCTCCTTTCGAACTTTCAGAATTGATAGATCTTGCCTCATTTCACAATATCAAGCAGAAGATTGTATGTTTTTATTTTTGAAAAGGCTGTGTGACATTTAAGTACCCAACATGACTCACTCTGAGTCTTAATTCTTCAAATAAAAAGATATAAAATGTGGGCATGGATAGGGGGTAGCTGAAAGCAGAGACTTAAGGATTTATTTGTGATTTATTACATTTTTAGACAAGTATTTGTACTTTTTCTTAAGTACAAATTTTTAGTTCACAGCACTGCTGAAATTGCCTGGTAAAACCAGAATGATCTCTCTTTGTGTTTATACAGATTAATATCAGTCTGGTCCCCTGGCCCTCCATCGAGCCTCAAGCCCAGTCAAACGTGATCGTGCAATCAGATTTGTCATCTAGGAATTAAAAATAATTTAATTTATCTCACCTCAGATTAACAGAATTTAGTGCTTGGCTCATTGATTCTGCAGATATCCATGATGGTTTTCCTTAATTTTTGAAAATGGGGAGCCATAAAGTGTTGGAGACTTGCGTACTGTGGATCCCAGACATCTGCTAAAATGTGTTAATGTTCAGAAAAATCCTACAATGCCGCAGTGCAATTTACATCCATCCATAGACAAGTGGTTACAATATTTAACTAACACAGAAATTATGCTACTTTGGTTTGCTTTTACCCTGCTGTAGCTAACTCATGCATTTAGGTCTGAGAAAGCCTTCATCGTCTCCTCCTTCTCCTTTCTCCTCCTTCTTCTCCTCTTCCTCCAAACTGCAGCCCTTGGATTTACTGTTTATGGGGTTATTTATCACCCTGAGTGCTGACGGCTAGCACTGCAGGGCCAGGGAGAGTGACACGCTGCCAGACCAGAATTAAAACTCTCCGCCTCCTGTAATGTGATTTGCAGACTCTTGGGCCAAAATGGGAGGAAAGTGGTATTCTCTTTGTGGACAGGCCATTCTTAATAGCAGCAGAAGCAGTGGCAGTAGCAAATAAGTTTCGCTTCTGCCTGAGCCTTTTTCAGTCATTATCTTAAACAAAATTTTGTTGTTTCTTACAATGGACTGAACTAAGTAGTAGTAGTAGTAGTAGTAGTAGTAGTAGAAGACATGACATCATTCACTCTCATTCAAGGGGGTGCACACTAAATAAAAAATAAAACCAGGGGATGGTATTTTCAGACAGATATAAGACTCTACAGCAGCAGCAAAACCATTAGCCTCTTCAGCATCTCTATCTTATCCTCTTCATCATACAACAAATATCTATTATACCCTTTTATCTGTTGTCTTTCCTGGTTGAAAGAGCAGTAGTTGTCATACTCATAGATTAATTGCATAAAATGTTGATAGTATCTTAAGGATTAGGACAAAATCCAATCTCAAATCTTGAACAGGATGTGTATGATGTTTGTAGTACTTTTATCATTTTTTCTTATTCTTCCTACTTTAAACTGTTTCTGTATTACCAGATCTCAGTGGGCAGACTCAGCAGCCTCTCCTGCTCTGACCTCTTATGCTTGTGCTGTGTTTGCCGGCAGAGTGACTGATGTGGGTCATTATAAGGCTGTGATGGGATCCTATCAGGAGAAGTCCCATTCAGAGCTCTGTCAGCGTCAAAGGGAAATCATCTCTGGAGGTTAACCGTGCAAGACTGACACCTAAAAGAACCAAACAAACGCCAAAACTTTACTCAATTTCTTTTTGGATGTGTGGCAAAAGCTAAATGTAGTTCAATCTTCTATAATAGGACAAACAACTCTATCAATTTGCAACTCATCTCAATTAATTTGCAACCAGTTCTCCTAAGAACAACTATTTACATAATAAATTAACAGCATTACAGTATGAATCCAACAATCAAATTAACAAAATTAAACATACATTCCCTCTATGGCTGCAGTATTTCCAAAGACACTATTGTAGTTGGATTTGTGATGTATGTTTTCAAATCATGTTGCTCATTGCAACATATTCAGATGAGGAGAATTAACATATATGCACTTCTAAATTCAAGAATCCTACCCATTTCAGAAGGTATTTGTAAAGGCCTAAACGGCAGGATTAGCAGGTTTCCATAATATATTTTATTTTATTGTTTGAAGAGATATTAAATAATATCAGCCTTGCAATATGATTACAGCAGACATTGAAATTTTGATAAATTAATTGTTCAGCTGCTTTTTACAGTCCATACATCTTGAAGCTGGAAACCAAACCAAATCGAAATGTCTCTCCAGTGAAGAGCCTGTAATCTATTGGAGATCTCAGACAGAAGTCTCAGCAGCCCAGAACAATAAGTTAGAGTTTGTAGCCGAGATCTGAACAGCTCAAGCCAAGTGCATGCTGGGAGACTTCCAGACACACTCTAGTCTTTACTGCGTTCATAAAAAGCAAACTGCTGAATCCTGGAGGATAATATTTTATGACAGATATATCACAAATAATACAATAGGAACCTGAAAAGAAAGGATGAGAATCTGTAACAGTATTCTACTGGGTAAATAGAAATACTTCTCCAGACCTTGAGCCAGAATATTGGTCAGTTTTTCAGTAGAGATGGAATTCGACTCAGCACAAACTCACATGTAGACCATGGACTATGCGCATTGTTGCCGTGGTGATCAGACTGAGGCTATGACTGAACATAGTTTGACTGCGTGTCCAGGGGCTGGCGTGTGTGTCCCGGTGGCCCTCCTCCCTGCCGTCCCAGTCAGATGTGCGCCCTGACGGATTGGGAGGCAAATTGTCTGTGTCACATTTCATATCACAAGAGCAGGACTGAGTCTAATGAAGGCAGGACATTGTGTCGAAAGGGTGCGCGTCAGCACATAAATGTATGTGTTGTGGAGGAAAGGGAGAAAAGGAAACCAGCTTCCTGTTTTATTCAACATTTTGTGGTCTATTTACATTCAAAAAAATGTATTTTTCGTTTTGTTAATTGCTATGGCAACTATACTAATTTGTTACAATTCTGAAACCCATAGATTATGTTTAGATTTACTATGCAGAATCTCACATCCCAAGAACAATTTCAAACAAAATTCCAGGGACCCTATCAGTACATTCAATACCAAATGTTGGTGATAGATTTAGAAAATGAAAAGAAATGAAAACTAATTTTAATGGAGGCAAAGAAAGGGGTAGTTTCCCCTCAATTACAAAAAGGAGCAGACCTGTATGTAGCTGCTGCCCTCTAGTGGCTGTGTAATAAACTAAAGCTCAGGTGACGTCATTGTAAACAGTAGTTTGACATCGATTCATAATTCATTTTGTTTACACTGTTCACAATGTGACAATAGATAGATTAAGCACATAATTTTGTGTTGATTATAAAGAATTTTCTTTATAGTCTATAGGACCTCATTTTCTTATCTTAACATTAATATTTTGGTCAAATTGTTCCCCTATTACAGTAGTAGTAATATTTGTAAATAATATATGCTGATAATTTCATTTTACTGTAAACCTATTTGTAGACCGTTCTTCCATAACTCTTTTTTAATATAAATATTTCAAAATTATGCAATTTGTTCAGTGGACTTCCTAAAATGTTTGCTTTGTTGTTGTTAATTCGTAAGTCGACAAGGCACACAAATAATATAAAGGCACATTCAAGATGAGTAAAAGATTTATTTCACATTTTCTCATTGAAATATCACCAGCTTTGTTTAAAGAAATAATTACATCAAAGTAGATTGTACAGGAACAGGGACGGACTGGGACCAAACTGGTAAATCAATAATGAAATAACTGAAGATAACACACAAAGATTAACTACTTCTGATTGTTTCTTAACAAAAATACCTAAATCATGTTGCCTTACATTTTCTGTTTGACATCTTTGACATGTATTGAAACCAATGAGTAACCCACCCTTCTTTGTCACTTTTTAGGCCTATGCAATTCATGCTTGACAAATGGGCAAATTATCATATTAGCTCCCTCTCCTGTTAGTAAGGCTGACGGCCGGGACGGCCATTCTGGATTTTTCCAGTCCGCCCCTGTAACAGGAACAATTACGAGACTTAGTCACAGAGACATGTTGGACACAGACATACACCTACAGATCTAGCCATACACATCAGAGAATACATTGTGTCAGTGACAGTGGCATAGTGTAGTTGCACAAGGCCTGGGGCTCACCCCCCGGGAGGGTGCCTGCAATGGGCCCCCAAAGTGCCATGGGCCCGGTGCATCGCACCGGCTGCACCTGCGATTGCTACACCACTGGTCAGTGATGGTCAGTTATGGTCAGGGGTTGTTCAGTTAAACGTAAACATTGACACATTTTAAAAGAACTTACAATCTGGATCACTGTAAAACCTTCTCTCACATAAACCACAAGACTAGACACACTGTTTTACTGAAGATGGGAGATTTGAACAGTCAGAGCTCTCAATTCACAGTGGAAAACATGTTAAAACCAAATTGAGCAGATTCTGAAACTAGATATTGACTTTTAAACTTTGTGATAACCTTGTTTTTTTGTCTTATAAGCACTACAGTCTGTGATCATCCATTATAGCTGTAATAATAGTAGTCGTAACCAGTGGTGGAATGTAACAAAGTAAATGTAGTAAAGTACTATACTTATCTGTACTTTACTTAAGTACATTTTAAAGTGAATACTTTTAACTTTTACTTCACAACTTTTGAAAGCTAGTATCTGTACTTTCTTCTCCACTACATTTTTGGAAAGGACTGAAAAATAAAAGTATTTTTTATTATTGTTTGAGACCTGCCAAAAAGGCAGAGGATTTATTTTTAACACCTTCATAATTTAAGCAAACAAAAATATAAAAACTAATAAAAATACCTACAAAAAACAATTGATTTAATTGTTTCTGTTTAATAAAATTTAAATGGTAAATGGTCACATTTTTCTACAGTGCTTTTCCACCTTCAAGGCACTCAAAGCACTATACAACAAGCAACCACTCACCCATTCACACACCAGTGTACGCAGACACTGTGGGCAAGGGTGGGTTAAGTGTCTTGCCCAAGAACACAACGACAGCATTCATCTGTGGGAGCTGGAATCACACCAACCTGAGGTTCAGTGGATCTGACCGCTCAACTTGTGATGTTTATGTCAAGAGCTGGAATCAAACCACCAACTTTCAGATCAGTGGGCGAATGCTCTACCAACTGAGCTACTGCCGTTCCTCTGTAAATCTCATACTGAATTTAAATTTAGCACAACTTTTTATCAAAATCACTACATTTGAAGCTTTATTAGATCCCAAAATCTAAACAAAACACTTTTACCTTTTATTCTTTAAGTACAATTTTAAACAGGTATTTTAATACTTTCACATCAGAAGATTTATTTCATGTGATAATTTCACTTGAGTATTTTGCTCTGGTATCTGTACTTTTATTTCAGTAACAAAACTGACTACTTCTTCCACCACTGGCCATAACAGAATATGCGTATTTGTATGTGACAGTGGGCCTCTATAGCAGGTGCAAGATGAGGCCAGTTCAGGTTAAGATTGAGTGTTAGCATCACACAGGCACTTAAGAGAAATGACAAATCACTAACATCCAATAAGGCACAACAAATACCACACTCAACACATCTTTCTTTGGGACAGATCTCTGAAGCTACAAGACATGACTACCAAAAGTTTAGATCATACTCCAGCTGACAACTTGGCAGGATTGCATCTTTTCCATAGATATAGATAGATCCATGGTCTCTCCTTACAAAGATTTCCATTTGTGGGATAATTTTAAGCACTGCCTTCATCTAGCTGGTAAGTAATTGAGATTGTGTTATATATTTGTCTATTACTCCTCTTTAAATTGTCTCATATACTTTATAATTATTGTGCAAGTCTACAGTGCAACAATGGATGCTACTGATGCTATGAAAGTTCAACAGTTAAACATAATACTAGGCCTATTGTATGGCTAAAATTTTGATTAAGTTACATATAAAAATATCTAACTTTAAACTAAATGTACTTAAATAAAAATATCTGATCTGTATGTTCCATCCAATCTACAGTAAATACATTCAAATGCCTTCAACACATGTACTATTTAAAACCATAAACATCAGCTGAGTGCAAAGATCTAAGTATTACTCAGTGAAAATAGCTTCAACAATATCCACACTTAAGTCCAAAGCCTTATTTTGTAGTAAGACACTCAACTATAGATGTATTCTCAATTTGTAAAGATAGGTATGCCCCTTTAGTGCTTTAGTACAAAATGGCACGATTTTTAAAATTTCAAATACTGTGGCTACAGTTTGTAATGATTCAGCACCTAAAATCAGAGGTAATTAGACAAACTTAGTTACAAAACGGACACTGACACACTCACACAACTCAAGCACACAGTAAGCATCACGTTCAGATCATGTCATTGGCAACGGATAAAACAATAGTACTGATTGCTGTATTATTAGTCTGATCTTTTACCTTCATTAAATTGAAAACAGAATTTCAAAAGTGTGTTGCAAGCTTTAGTTCACTTGTCTATTTTCATTGTGTATTAGACAGATTTTTACCTTACACGCTTAACTACTTTGCAATGTGGGCCAGTGCTTTGAAAGTATTAGAGCAGCATCTTTTCATAAGGTTTAGTTTCGCGGTATCAGGCCTTTCTTGTAAGCGAGGACCCCCGCTGCCGTGGCAACACACAGGAGGGTGGAGACTCTCATGAAATTGATGAAGCCACCGACTGAAGGCAGGTTCCTCTCCCAGAAGGTGGTGATGAAGGGCAGAGCGGGTACATCCTGTCAAATAGATATAATTACTTGCCTGTATCAATAACACATTCTAATGATTATGATTATGGTTATGATTATATTCATAATATATATTATTATATATTGCTACAGAGATATACTGTGATAAATGATAGCACTGAAGCTACTTAATGCCGGTGATACAATAACAGTAATGCAAGGTAATCACAGTGAATCATGTTTATATAGACAGCAGCATTAAAGGCCTGAGCAAATGAATAACAGAATGTATCAATAAATAGCCATAATACTTTTCAGCCTTATACAGCTCAACTGTTATCAGATTACAACAAAAATATCCAAAATCCCCTCACTTCTGAAAATAAATTGTACACACGATAAATATTGACTGCCAGAATTTACATTATTCTAGCTTCCATATATTGAACAATAAGTCATATTGTAATTATTGTAATAGGTCTATGTAGAGTAAAGGTGTAATCTACACAGTAAACAATGGCCTTACCAGACTTTCAGGCTCTGTTTGCCAGATCTGACTCTTATGAAGTTTACCCATTGCACACATTATCTAAAAGAATAGAAGTAAATATTAACTGAGCATAAATGAATATAACGTAACAATGCTGGAAACGTGTCTATTAGTTAATGAATATTTTTCTGACCTCTCTGGCTGCCCTCTCTCCTGCCTCCACTGCCCCCTCCATGTATCCGCTCCATGCTGTGGCAGTCTCTGTGCCTGCAAAGTACAGTCTCCCACAGGGCTCCCTCAGTACCCTGGAACAAAAGTAGGGATGAGACAGTCTCCAAATCTCTCGGTACAAAATCTTCACAATATTCAACTCACAAAACTATATTTATTGAGATATTTTATGGAGGCTAACAAAATTGTGAACATGGTACTTTTTCCTTTTAAAATGCTCTGATAAGCCTTTAGTAATGTTATAATACAAATAATTAAAGATTTAAAAATGCTTAATAACAGTTATTTCTTCATGTAATCTGCACTGAAACGGCAATGGATCATTTTTTAGCTATTGCTGCACTGAAACAACGACTTCAAGCAAAGAGGGTTGTAATTCAATATATATAGATGGCCCACGATATTATTATGAGACTTTTGATGATACAATATCATGATATTTTGGTTACTGAAGAAGTTACAGAAGTATGCAGTATAATGTATGTTTTTTTTTTTTTTTTTTTCTTTTTTAAATATACAAATTATGCAGAATAAAGATAAGTTAATACAAAAGACCTACCTGCCGTACTGGGTGAGGATTCCTGGGGGGAAACAGGCAGTGTAGCAGCCTCCAGAGTACTCTTCTTCACACCAGTTCTTCTCCTCATAGTGCACTGGCTGATTTAGAAAACAAAACGCCATAAACATAACTTAGGCAAGCTTTTAAATTTTAAAGAAAACATATTATGCTTTTGTCTGATATTTATTTATTGGTCACGTCTGTTTTTTGGTCTTAATGATATCATATGACTTGATCATGTGACAGGTTGGGTTATTGTGGATTTTCATTTAGATAGTTACAGCTCATAGTCGCAAGCAAGTGTTTTTTTTTTTTTTTGTAACTAAATAGCTATGAGATGCTAGAGTCCTATGTGTAAAACTGATTCAGTAAAAAAAAACAAAAAACAAAAAAAACAATGTAAGAGGCAATGGGTGTGGTGTATAAGGGGGGCAGGAGGGGACGGATGGTGGAAAAACAGGAATTTTCAGAGCTATGGTGTCTTGATTACAGAAGAATAAGGATTATGCTGGGTGGGTAAATGAGAAAGGAAAACAGTTAAAAGGTTAAAGTCGTTGTCCAGACTCACATGCAGGGCCTCCTCTGTACCCAGGACTTTGGAGTAGATCTCACAGATCCTCTTCAGCCTAAAGTCAAACCACAATAGTTTAGATTAAACACATGGATGAGTCCAATAGGTGACAGTGATTGTACTACCTCTCTTCTTTGGTCAGGTCTGACAGCTTTCTGCACTTGCTGGCCAGGATGAATCTGAGAAAAAGAGAAAAAAGAAGTGGTGCGTAATAGTGGAATGCAATAATCAATTTTCACTGCTTAAAGATGGACAAATCAAAGCAGATAAAGTTATAGTGTTATAGCACATAAGAGTCTGACCTGATGTTATCCTGTAGTGAAATCTGAATTATCTCTCAGTGTTATCTGAGCAACACAACTGGACTTAAATCAGGAATGCACTAGTCTGGGTGGGCTCAAAGCTCAAAGCATTGAACTATAAGCCTGGTAGCAACCAATAATGTAATAACAGCTAATAATGTAATAAATGCCAATAACGTAATAACAGTCAATAACTTAATAATTTTAGAGCAGTAATTAATGGCAAGATATTATTACCATCACTGAGTTTTCTTCTTTTTTTTTTTAATGAAACGTTGGGTGCCAAAGCTTTGCAAGTCCAGTCTTTTTTATTTAAATGGTGTAGCTATCTTATTCCTGGACATCAAACAAGATTTGCTTCATTGTTATTATGTTATTTACATTATTGACTCACATTGTCGTTACATTATTGGCCTTTTATTACATTATGGGCTTATTCACTTTAAACTTGGCCAGAATTATTATGTTATTGGTGTTTATTTTATGGCTGTTATTATGATAGCACAAATTGTCCAGAAGATTTTTTAAGGACATTTATCTTCACTTAGTTTTAAATTTTTTTTTTAACAAGTTTTACAAGTTACAAACTTTTCAAGCAAAAAAGAGATAATAAAATCACTAGAGATAAAATAACAAGAGATTAAATGAGTTGTGATTAGAAGGAAACTTCCTTCTGTCTCTGGCATATTTCTGTTTTACCTGCATTGTATTTAAATCTGCAAGGCACTTTTGAACCTGTGTGATTAACTGTTTATACTACATAAACAAAACATCATTGTTACTGGATGCCATTACTGACCCCATAATAGCAGGAACAGTCCCATCAGGCTTTGTGTCATCAAGGGTCAGACCTATGGGAGACCCTTCGTCCTCAATCACCATACTTCCACAATACCCTGGTGACGCACACAACACTTTCACACAAATGGACTTCTAATCTGGAGCACAGCTTTCATGTACAGCCAAATTTCCTGAGTACCTTTTTTCCTCCAGAAGTTGTCCTTGTAGTACACCATGCACTTGATGACCGAGCCCATGGGAACCCGGTGGATCAGCTGGTTCCTTAAAGGGGGGAGCTCAGGGCTGAAGTGGATTTTAAGGTTTAATCCTGGGGGGATGGCTAATATCACATATTTGGCCTAAGCAAATGTAAAAGAAACATCTCTTTAGTGAGTGATAGTAGTTGATTGTGTGACCAGCAGATGGCACTATAACAGTGCATTATGCTGTATATAGTGTTTGATAGAATAGTTTTTTCAATAGCTTTTGCACATTTATTGATTGAAAACTATGAAAAAAACAGGTCTCACAGAATCCTAAACAAAATCACATAATTTTTTTCCTAAATAAAATTTTATCTCAGAAAAATTCAGTTTTTCATTCAAAACTGGTGGATCAATCCCCCAAAAGATTTACCATCAAAATTCTCTTGTCACAAGTTTTTCTGAGCTCATTCATTTTCAGTGCAGCTCAGAAGCTTTCGTCCTGCTCTCAGTGACCACAGAGAATCACTGGTTTAGCACAGTCTTCCATTGGGTTCATACTTCACACATACGAATTTTGGACTAGAAAAGCTTTGCTTTGTTGTTTGTTATGTAGATGTACACATAATTTCTTAAACAAAATTTCACCTCACCAAAATACAGTTTTTCATTCAAAACTAATAAATAAAGCAAATTTTACCATCAAAACTCTCAGACTGTGGTCATGTGTTTTTCTGTGCTCTTTCATTCATTTCACAGAGCAGCTCAGAAACTTAGTCCTACTGTCAGGGACCAAAGAGAATCACTGGTTTAGGGCAGCTGATATACAACTATGGCTGAAGGAGTTTATTATGGTTTATTTATTTATTCTAGATATATTATAAAAAAACAAAAACATTTTGTAAATATAATTTAATTGGATCACAGTATTTTATCCAAATATGTACATATGTCCTGTGTACTGTTGGTAGTCCTGTGTCCACAGATTTTGGGTGCTCACAGATGCTTTTTGTTGTCATGTTTGAGTTTCTACTCAAAGTGACAGAGCTTGGGCCAATATCCTTTAGCACAAAGCTGTAATATTGGAAAAACAAGTAGAATTCAATGATCATGTGTGTTTCTGAGTGAGAGCTGTGCCAAGTGTTCTGAGAGAGAGCCTGAGAGCGGTGTGACCTGATATGAAATGTTCCAAATGACTTGACCACGTGTGCCTCTGTTCAGATACAGGTTTGAATCAAATGATCAAGCTAATCCAGGTTTCCAAAAATATGAAGCAAGAAAAATGGAATTATGTAGTTAAGAAAAAAACTTGTCACTTTCAATAAAAACTCAAATGTAAAAAGCAAATATTTGTGGTCAATTTTCAAGAGAAGTGGGTCAAGGCGTTTGAAAAAAAAAAATCTACTGTTGTCTTCATTTATCTGTGCACCATTTTACTGTAATAAAATGTGTTATTTACATTAAGTGTATAGGATTGTTGGACTTGCCTTGTAGATTTGTTTGTCCACAGTCTCCACCACGACTGTGTCTCCGCTCTGGTCGATCTTGTAGACGGCGGACTGCAGTTTGACCTGGTCTCCCAGCTCTCTAGCCATGGCCTCACTGATCTGACTGGAGCCGCCCTGGAACTTCCTCTCCTGCAGCAGAGAAACAAAACAGTGCAACAATTTACCCTTGGCAGATGGCCTTGGTCAGAAATATGGAAAATCACTTGTCACATTTTTGTAAATTTGTAGTTTACTGATATTTTCATGACACTGTGTAACTGCACGAAGACACACATCCAGTAGTGAAGGTTTGTAATTCTCTCTCTTTATGTTCTCTACAATGAAAATGTAGTAGCAGAAGCACTTAAAGGTACAGTATGCAACTTTCTTCAGGCCAAATAAAAGTCAAGTTTATGGAGATGTTTGGCTAAGTTGTGTACTGTGTCTTTAACGAACATTGCCAAAACATCTCCTGAGGTCTGGAGAATGAAAAATGTCAATAAATAGTTCTATGGTTTTAAAAACAATGTTGAGAAGGTCCAGATGACTACCACTGAAACTACAGTTTGATTCTTTGCTATAAACCAGGCACTAGCACTCCAGTTAACTTGATTGGTTTTGTTTTGAAGTTGCAAAGTGGTTCCAATTGGGTTAGTGCATTGATACTTTGCAGTCACATCACACTGGAGGTTTTCTATAATGAATTTTTATTGGCAAAATGTTCAACAGTTTCCATGGTGACTCAAGGCGCACATTAGCAAACACAGCCAAAAAAAGTTTTAAGATCGTCTGAAAACTCCAGAAAAAATACTAAATGGATTTAAACTGCACATTTTCGGGAGCCTGTGATCAATGAGTCTTCTTGGTCCAGCTTAAAAAAAAAGTTTAACGCTAGCTAACTTGAGAAAAATTAGCAGGAAAAAAATGTGTATGGATCTACATTTTGACTAGCCTGATTCATCAGCTGGTTTCACTTCGTGGAAACTGTCTGATATTGCAGCATTAGGATTCAGTCACTCGACCGTAGGTGGGTAAGTTTTTTATTTAACCAATCACTGCTATTTGGTTGTGACGTATGTAATGAGCCAAATCCCGTAGGAAGAAGGGCAATAACCTCTTTCCCAATGATAAAATTCACCAAACATTCTCTTTGTTCCGGCTTTAAATCCTCGATCTTGGGAATCTTTGCCAACACAGAATGTATGGCTTCGTCTACGTCCATTTTAACCGCTTTGTTTACTGTTGTGCTGTACCACAAAAGGGACCCAGACATGGCTTCACAGCTCTTTGCTGATTGGCCGGTGTGCGGTCTATAACTTCCAGGGTTCTTGCAAAGCGTCTAGTGCAGGGGTGCCAAACTCAAATTCACAGAGGGCCAAAATAAAAAACTGGGACTAAGTTGTGGGCCAAACTAAATATATATTTAAATAATTTCAACAACATCTGCATGTTTTCTCTTCTTTTGAGATATGTAATGTTGAGCCTTTTCTTATTAAAATAAATGTTAAATGTAAAATAAATGGCCTAGGCACTGTAGAGAAATGAAATTGAGTGGAGGCACTAGATTGGCTACATTTTGACAACAGACTATGTGAAATAAAACTATACTTAAAAAATAGTATTCACATGAGTAACAGAGCTTCTAACAGAGCAGTGCTTTCAGTTACCTTCACACCCCCAGTGAATACTGATCAAATCAGCTGCAAAGTATAAGTTGATTGAAATATTGTCTGAGCATGTGAGAACATCCCTAGACATAAAATGCAAAGATTTATACTTAGCTTTACTAGTCAGCATTCTTTTATGTTTCCTTACAAAGTACAGCTGTTAGATGGAGTTCTGAGGGAAGTATTTATGATGGTGTCCACTGCAGTCATGTGGAGCTTTGCCAAAGTGGTGAAAGACTGACTCAAATGGACAGTGACCTTTTACGTATGGTTAGTGTCAGCTCTTCTCTCTCTTCTGTCTGTTTTCTCTCTTCTCCAGATCAAAACCACATTGCGTGCATTCCTCCCTGACATTTGGAGCCATTTGTTCGTCAGTGAGTGCAAAATTACACAACTGGGCCTGGCAGCGTAAGAATGTTTGGCTTTTGTGATTTTTTTTCCACCAATGCTCTATACTATAACACCGGAGATCCCTGAAAGCGCGCAAATAATGTCTCATCAAATTCTTGTCAAATCACTTATGCAATGCGTTTGGCACATACTATAAGGAGATGTGACAAAGACAAATTGACATCTACAACACAAGTCCGATTCTCTGTGGCCATGGCAACAAGAGCAAGACATTACTGAGCTTTCCCAGGCCTCCCAGAAAACAGCTATTGTCAGTTTCATAATTATGCTGTTCTCATCAGAGGGTAGCTAATGTTTACCACTACCTGAAATAAAGAAATAAGCCCACAAAAAAAAGTTACATAAAAATACCATTACTAAATTATTTCATTACAGCAGTAGTAGTACCCCTAACTAAATTCTCCACCAATTATTGCTTTCAAAAAGATTAAGAAACTAACTAATTAATTTACAAAACTAACAAATTAATTAACTAATGTAATATAGCTTAATAAGGTTTTATCAAGGGTGTCGAAACAATACCTTAAGCTTTCTGGTGAATTGGCCTACATTATCCTGTATTTATTTTAATAACTATTTTCACTGCTAGTTTTAATTTGTGTATCATTATAACTTAATTAACTAACCGTTTTTACTTGACGCAAACCTATTAATGATAGATATTAGGGTTCTCAGTCTGAATTAAATTGTGGTGGCACTTTAAAACCTCAGATAAAAGTTACAAAAGCTACTAAAAGCTGCTGATTCACAGTATTGACCACCAGTCTATGGCTCTCCACAAGGTCTATGTTTCAATATGCCTTCCATGAAAAAAGTTTGGACTCCCCTGGCTTATATACTATATTTACTTCAGCCGATGTGCACATTCTCTGCTTTTTCATGTGTCTGTGACTGACCTGTCCTCCATTGGTGGTGGAGAAGATCCTCATGGTCCCTCCGCACTGGCGCACATACCAGAGGAACCACAGCGCTGAGATCTCATGGGGCTCTGACGTCACATTCACATTTACAAACAGTTTGGCGAAGCGGCGGGCAGCACTGGAATGAAATAAGTACTAAATAAGTACATATAAAAGGTTATTTCAAATTCCTTTTCCTTTTATCAATATAATTATTGGGTTTAAAAGGTAAAGGATCCTCTGAGTCTGAAGTTTAATGACAGTGTTTAATGCATCACACGATTCTACAGAAATCCCTTGTACTGTACCTGGTCCAGCAAATCTTTTCTATGAGTTGTTGCATAGTCATTTTATCCCACTCCTCGGCGTGTGGGGCTCTCCATGGGGCCTCTATGGGAATCTAAAACACAAGCAAAAAGTCAGAATTCACAGTTGGTTGATATTTTAATTTACTGCAGTTGTGTTTACCTCTTTGCCCATTTCGTCCATTGTCCGGTAGAAGCTGTTGAAGTCCATATAAACAAATGGATTCCATATGGGAGGGATGGAGCCTTTGAATGGGGTGGATTTTCCCTGTCAGTAAAACAGAACATCAGATATTATGCACTTTGTCTAAGGCCACTATTGCTTCCATGATATTGTATCAGCTGATGTCCTGGTTGGGCTTTAACTGGATGTATTAAGACAATTTACTGGCTATTGCTGACCTAAAATGTTTCATAATAGATATACTTTTATTCTTACAAAGCTGTTCAACATTTAAAATGACATAAAATGATGTTTTCAGCTCCTATGCTGATATCTGTTAATATCAGGTATCAATAGATATCAAAAGTCAAAGTATTGATATGGTATTGGAACTGAAACAACTGGATCAGTGCATCACTTAGAAGAAACACAGGTCAGGTTAGGTTAACACACCAATCACACATTTAGTTTGATGATACTGATCTATGATTTTATCTATACAGATAAAACCACACACAGCACCTGTGTGTTCATGACAGACATGTCAGTGAATCATGTCAAGGATTTCCAGATGTTCCCAAATGTTCAACATTATGTAGGCGACAAGATCTACATTTAAAATGGTTGGTGACTATAGACCAGTGTTAAACATTTGAGGACACTGTGCGGCCGTGTGCCTGCTGCAGGAGGACTACCTTAAAGCACAGGGGCGTGCTGTGGGTGCTGTAGCTCTGAACTGGCTGGTACACAACAGGTCTGTCTCCATGGTGACCCCAGTGAAGTGAATACAGTGAGGCAGAGGGGAGGGGCAAGTAGCATCTGTTTCCACATCACCTAACAATATCTGCAGCCTCCAAGGAGAAAGTCCAGAGCTTATGTTACCTCAATATTCTGGAAAGGCCCAGGAGAGGTTTAGACTAGCTAAGATATTTTTACTTTTTTATACTTTGCGCTAGTTTACCTCTAGTGAGTGTCCAAAATCTCACTCCCTAAAATATGGGTTATTTTTTTCTACCCAACTGCAGGGCTAGGGCTGTTGGGTAATTTTTTTTTGGGGGTTATTTTTACAGAGTTGGGTTGTTTTTCTTAACCCAGACACTGCTGTTCTTTCAAAATGGGCTGCCTCATCGAAATGAGCTGCCAACAACCTAAATCAACAGTGGCATCTATCGATTTCACACTACCCCGTCAAAATAAGCTACCTACCGTTTTTCTAGTTAGTACATAAATACCTGCTCAACTAAGTGCACATAGTGTTTTTATTCTGGAGCTGAATATGTCATAGATGAGTCCACTTGATTTGGGTTTCATTTAATATATCTTGTGCTTTATTTATCACAGAGGAAAACATTTGAGCAGAAACATTATATATGTGACCTCTTTCTGTTCTTCCCTCTCACAGTGGAGCAGACTGCAGTGTCCACATCCCTGAGCTCTAGACTCTGTTCTGTCACAAATATAAGTTTTATGTTTAATAATATTATATTTTATGAGATTCTTGTAAAAGAAGTGTCAACAGATGTAGTTTGTCTACATCTCCAAAGCTCAAAATGCCCTGCTCCACCTTGTGATGTCATGAAGCAGTAGTTTTCAAGTTAACAACTACATTTTACTTTTGTTCAGTAGAGACTGGCAATTCGAGGGCTGAAATTATCCAAATGATTCCAGTGAAATTGCAAGGAGTTTAAAAGCACAGTGGAGCACTTCCTGTCTAACCACATGACATCACAATGTGGAACAGAGTATTTTCAGTTTGACAGAAAAACCTAAATATGCAGAGTTTATGTCTTAAACATGTGTGAATGAAACAAAACACAACATCAGGTATGTTTGTGATGAGGAAACAACATTATAACATGGATCAGAAAATAGATATGGGCCCTTTAAGTGTTGAAGTGGCACACCTATAGAAATAAACATGCACATCCTCACTGTGGAGAGGACACGGCTATGGTCTATGAGGGAAGCATTTAATCGTAGTCTGTCCTGTCAGTGATAAGGATAGTGAGTACAGTCTTAATGAATGCAGAGCTGAGAGCTGCAGCTGCCTGTTAGCCAGTAGTTTGCTGATAAGGGAGACCAGCACTGGCCTTTTGGATTACTATCTCCATAGAAAAGCTGATTAGCCACATAGCTCTCGTGAATGCTCCCCTTAATTACACAATTGTTTTAGCACACATCACATGCCAAGTTGCTTTTACTCCTACAACTGTATATAAACTATATAAGTCTGTTGGATGCACTAGCTGTTGTCACCATGTTGCTATTGTTGTTCTTGTCTGAAGTATTCCACAGTATGACATTCACAACATCTTGTTCAAGTACATTCATGTAAAAACCTTGAAAAACACTGTAAACAGATGCACCTCTCCACAGATCTCATGTGTAACTTCCAGGGAAAGCAATAATATAGCCATTGCCACTGAGACATAGCAGCCCATCCACCATAAAAGTTACATAGTGCACCTTTAAATTCAAGTATAGTTGACCAGATGGCTTTAGTGATGATTTACTTTGTGTCTCTGCAAATTCAAAGGTCCTTAAAATACAAACACACAGTATGGATGTCCTTCTCAACTTCTCAACAAAGTAACTTTTATGCCTGACCAGAAAAACAAACAAAAGAGCTGAAAAGGCTTGTTGATCCAGAGATTAGTCCAATTCTGTTTTTACATATTGGAATGGATGGGGAATCACAATGGATGACATTTAGATCCGTTTATCACACTGCAGAACTAAAGACTAAGCTGCATCACTTTAGCTTAATTAATCCGTGTATCATTCGTTCATTCGTTTTTCAATATAAAACCAAAAATAAGAAAACGAAAAAACAACAGTTTTCTTCGTTATTTGTCTCCAAAACCAAAATGAAAAAACGGATAACGATTCGTTTTTTCAGTTTTCGATTTTGTGTTTAAATGAAGAATGGAAAAAAACGGATAACGGCCGTTTCCCGTTTACGTGACTTCCGTGACTGCGATGCCGGACTTTTGCACCGCATACGGACTGAATCAGGACGGATCCAGGTCCGAGACCAGACCGAGACCAGAGCGGGACTGAGACCGGGACCAGACAGGGACCAGAGCGGGACCAGGGCGGACTCCGAGCTTTGACTCCGAGCCTCCACGGGGTCCGAGCCTCAGCTTCGAGCTCCGGCCCTGCCGTGGGCTCTGAGCCTCCGGTCTGGTCCCGGTCTGGTCCTGGTCTTGTCTCGGTCTCTCAGGCCCGCTCTGGTCCCGCTCTGGTCCCGGTCTGGTCCCAGTCTCAGTAGCGCTTTGGTCCCGGTCTGGTCCCGGACCTGGTCCATTTTAACCAAAAGCTCTTAGTTCGATTCATTTTCATTGGTGTGAATGCGTCAGTCGGAGGCTTTGCACCACCTCGGAACCAGCCGCGGTTCTTGAGCGCGGAGGACCAGAGCAGCTCTGTCCCGGTCTCTGTCCCGGTCTCAGTCCCGCTCTGGTCTCGGACCTGGATCAGTCCCGGTTCAGTCCGTATGCGGTGCAAAAGTCCGGCATCGCAGTCACGGAAGTCACGTAAACGGGAAACGGCCGTTATCCGTTTTTTCCATTCTTCATTTAAACACAAAATCGAAAACTGAAAAAACGAATCGTTATCCGTTTTTTCATTTTGGTTTTGGAGACAAATAGCGAAGAAAACTGTTGTTTTTTCGTTTTCTTATTTTTGGTTTTATATTGAAAAACGAATGAACGAATGATACACGGATTTTAATTGATTATAAATGACAAGCAGTGTTGGTGACTGAATACAGTACATATAACAAAATTATGTGTTCTGGATACTAATTTTGAGTAACTGTATTCTGGTACAGTTACTTTTTCATTTGGTGGTATCTAGGGGTGTGTAAAAATATCAAAATGTCGATATATCATATCGTTTAATATGATGATATAATATCAATATCATGGGCTGCTGTAGTGATATATCACCAAGAGCATTTTTTGGTATATTTCACATTATTTCACAATTATTTTATAACAGCACTGCATTTTTGTTGCTTATTTAGAAGAAGGAAACTCGTTTATGCAACACATTTGACATTTTCACTGTTTTGATTATTTAAATGGGTGTGTTTCATATGAACTTTGCACAAGAAGTGGTTTAACAAAGACTTTTAGTATCACAGCCATCATTTAGTCTTTATTTTTTATTGAAGCATACCGAAGTAATTTGAAATATATCATATTGAATTGAAAGTGCACTGTATCGAAGTATCTATCGTATTGGCAACTTCTTAATATGATCTTATCTGACCATGTAATTTAGGCTTCAAACTGCACATTATCAGTGAGAAAAATAGACAGTTTTGTTGTGAGTGCATGTGTGATTTTTCCACCTCCAATTAGTGACAGGAAATGCTTTAAAAACAGAGAAACAAATATAAAGCTGTTTTTAATCTTATGTTACACTATAATTTAAATGAAACAATGTAAAAGTATTTCAAGTTTTCAGAATGAAGTCAGGATTCTGTAACTAAATACATTTTTCAAAGTATTCTTCCTGATCACAATGCCTTGACAACATTTATTGACTTTTGATTAGAAAAAAACTTACATTTCTACAGACTCATTTATGCCACTGAACAGTATCAGGGATATCTGCCACTATTTTCTCCATGCACGCTCAACTCAACAGTATTTTTAGCTGTTGTTAAATCTTAAAGTAGGCCTTCTGCATTGCATGCCCCTATTATTTAGGGTCTGGCAATGATGGACCCCGCTACCATGGAAACGTGCCAATAAGCCGGAGTGGCATGTTAGTCTCTGAGTGGATCTTACAGAGATAGTCGCCAAGGAGACGCCCACACAGGTGCTCCTATGGATACAGATACAGACCCGGGCTGTCACATCAACAGGTCTGCAATTTATTTCATTGACATCCATGTGCGAAATGCTGCATCATAGTTAATAAACTAGGTCAAATCAGTCAGACCAATGTGTGAAGAAATTAATTCTTCAGTGAATCATCTGTACGCCTTTTATTGTAAATGCATTTAATCACACAACCCTCTCCATTTATTCAAAGTAGTTAAGATGATTTCTTTATAAAGTTATTTCATTTTCTTTGCACTACTGGGACATTTTTATAATTTTTTTTTGTCTTCATGAAAGGATTTGAGCCATGACTCATTGCAGATTGAAACTATAGTTCTAAAATGCTAATATGTTTGATTCAGCTGTTTATTTATTGCATTTTTTATAGTTTTTGTGCTCAGGGGCATGAATTTGTTTCAATATTATCTTTTATCGTCTAAATTTTCTTGAGGAATATATTGCTCTTCAAAATTTGTGATCTCCTGTTTTGCAGATCAATCAATTTTCATACTCACTGCACTTATAGCTGTGATGTATATGTTCATGTTGTGAAGAAAATATTCATCATGTCTTTGTATAAAAAGTCTGTGCCAGGCTGTCAGAGACCCAGACCTGTCCATATCTGCTGTAACAAAGAGTAAACCCTTTTTGTATTTTGTAAACTCACCAGTAGGGATTTAACAATAACCAAAATATCGTGATAGTCTATCGTCAAAAGTCTCACAATAATATCATGGGCTGTCATAATATATCGACTTACAAGTTCCTTTGCTTAAATGCATGGTTTCATAGTAGCAACAGTTTATAAACATAGGGGATCCCATGATTCATTTCAGTGCAGACAACATGAAGAAATATGTTTTTTACTTGAATTCTTGAGATTTTGACAGAAATTATTCACACCATAATCTTGTCAAGGTATTTTTAAAGAAAAAAGTGTCATATCTACATTTATATTAGCCTCTTCAAAATATCACAATAAATATTGTACTGTGAGATGCATATCATAACTAGAAAAGCACTCAGAGAGCGCAGACCTCCGCCAAGGACTACCCCCATTTTTTATATAAATTGCGATAAAATCAGTCTTCTGGATCAGATCCGGATCAGCCTTTGGAATATGAAAGAGGATCCCATTGTCCATCCCTGAGTCAAATTTCATGGGGTTTGGTCAATAATTAACCGAGATATTGAGAAACAAAGTTTTTGGCCCCATTTACCACAATGTTAACTAAAATTTTAAAGTGATCCAGAATCCAGGATTTCTTCCGGATCACCCCCAAAATGAAATCAGTTCTTCCTTTTCACATTTCCAACAAATCCTGAAAATTTCATCAAAATCGGTCCATAACTTTTTGAGTTATGTTGCTAACAGACAAACAAACAAACAAACAAACAAACAGACAAACGCCGGCAAAAACATAACCTCCTTGGCGAAGGTAAAAATATTATTCTGAGAGATTTGGATATCATTACATCCCTACTCACCGGGCATCAAAAATTTATTATTATTATGGATTATGTATTTATTGTTATTCTTCAAGAGCAGTGTTGGGAAGGTTACTTTTAAAATGTATTTCCCTACAGATTACAGATGACATACCCCAAAATGTAGTTTGTAATGTAATCCATTAAATTACTTAAAGTGAGTAACGTAATCTGAATACTTTGGATTATCTGATATTGTCATGCTTTTTAAAACTACATGAATGGAGCAACCATATCCTGCAAATTCTTGTTTGTTCTCTTGTCTCCATGAACAGGTAATTGTTTGCTGTAGTGAAGCAAAGACGAGGAAATGTTAACATAAGATCTTTTGTCTGCTTAAAGACAATAAAAGCCCAGTCGTTCCTTAAGCATATTAAAAATATTATTACTAGAGAAATTATTTTTATATGAGATCACCTTAAATTATGTCCACCCTACTGTTAGGTGTCATATTGTTTAGACCTGGTTTTAGTCCTGTTTTAGTCCTGGTTTTAGTCCTGTTTTAATCCTGGTTTTAGTCCTGGGTTTAGTCCTGGTTTTAGTCCTGGTTTAGACTTGGTTTAGTCCTAGTTTAGTCCTGGTTTAGTCCTCCTGGACTGGGTTAGTCCCGGTTTTAGTCTTGGTGTTAGTTCTGGTTTAGAGGTGCACAGGAGGAAGCGCGGTCGACGCAGCGTACGTGAGAAAACGCAGTCCACACGCGGCGCACGGGAGGACAACGGATGACAACGTGATATTTCTTTCTAACATTTTTTTATTATTGTGACAGGCTTAAGCATAAGAACAGCTACCAGAATCTCTCCAGAGTGAGAATAAAGAACACATCTTACTACATTATGACCCCCTGTGCATGGATACAACGTTTAATATATTTTATTAATCATGACACCCTATTATTAAGCAATTAAACAGTGGTTGGTTAAGGGTCAGAAACCTACATGGACCAAATAGAAACTTGAGAATAGGGATAGGCCACAAATGAAATAAACTGTTTTAAGGAGAAAGGAGATCTTCACTAATAAGATACAGTAAGATGGATCTGTCTTTGTTTGTGCACAGACCATTCTTCCTCTGCTTTCAAGTAATCGAATATTGAATTACAGGAATCCCCCAGGCAAAGATTAGTATCATCAGTAGCTAAGACTCAAGAGGGGTTGCTGTAGGTTTAACTCTATATTCTTTTGTAAGGGCATAATGTAAAAAGGATGGATGGAGAATGGAGAATGTCTAGTTCTTGCCATAAAGTAAAAGCTTTGAGGATTATGTGATTAACTTAACAAAACATATTCTAAAGCACTTTTATATATAGACATGTCAGCTCTCCTAACAGACCAAACAAAGGCATATTAGTACTTACGTTGATGTAGTGTACCAGATTTTCACGCTCGTTCACTTTGTAGGTTTGCACGCCGTACTCTTTGGCTAATCTCAGGATCCGGTTCTGCGTTGGACCGACATAAGCTCCGCCCAAATCAACCCACTTCGCGTGCTTATTCTGCAAAAAAGTTCATGTCCATTGTTATAACACTGCTTGGCAAAAGTTACATTTAAAACAATGCTTTTTCTTGACACCTGCACTGTGAAGGTCCGCCCCCCGACGCGATCTCGGGCCTCCAGCACCACAGGGCTCAGGCCACTGGATTTCAACAGCTTTGCGGCACTCAACCCTGCACACAAGCAAAACCAGGACATAAGCCATGCACTTTTACTATACTGTGATAATGTGTCTGCAGTTACAAAGGGCAAAGTTTAAATAAGTTGAAGTAACGGTCAACAGATAAGACTTTCATCAAATCCAAGAACTGACTGAGAAGATGAATGTGTTGCTTTCTAGTTCTTTATCTCTTGTAGACTGTAGGCTGATAATGAACTTGGTGAGCAAAGAGAGGCTCGTATTCTCTTAACCTGACAAAGGAATATGTGTAAACATGCTTAAAAGGAAAAAAATGTGAATATGGATTATAGTTCAGAATTCTTTACATTTAGTTAACATTATAGGTGTACATAAAAGCATACTTAGCTCAAATTTCACTCAGCTGCTATTTGAAAAGATGCACAGAAATAGATCAAGAATTGTACTGTTTCCCAAACTGATTCGTATCTCCTGACCTGCTGATCATGTGAATGGAGGGAGCAGTCGTAGAAAGAGTGAAGCTTTTACAATACAGCTACACAAACACACACAGAAACTACCGTTGCATTGCATACTGTGACCTGGGGCAGCCATAACTTTAATTCAATAAGACACAGCCATGAATACACACACACACACACGCTGTAGATTAGTGTGCAGCATATGGATACGTAGCACTGCTTTATGTCACATAATAATAAATACAGTTGCAACTACAGGGGAAACTATGGGCACAGCAAGAAAATGAAATAAATACATATACGTAATTATTAAAAGGCCAGTTTTCTCATCTGTTTTCTCATACAAACAGACCTGGAGTTGTGATTTGTTTCATTCACACATGTTTAACACACAGACTCTGAGTATTTAGGCTGAGTTCTTCTCTCAAACAGAAAACACACAATACAGGAAGTTCTTCACTGTGTTTTTAAACCCCATACAGCTTCGCTAGAATCATTTGGATGATTTTAATTAACTGCTTTATACTGTCACAACTTTCTGATTATATGACCTAGTGGGACTTCAGATCATGGTACATCTGTGTTCGTGTGTTCATGCTCACAGCCAAAACTCAAACATCTGTGTAAATGTTTTGATAGCCTTCGCTCTACTTCCCCCTCTAACCTCCTCCTGGTCCTCTTAAAAGTTTCTTCTGAAGTCTTACTAAGCTCTACAAATGTTAGAAACATTTGGATAATTTTAGACAGTTTGTATACCTTCTGCCTGACATTGTGTAAGAATACTGCAGCTTGGATGGAGTTAACTGAAACATTTACCAAAATTCAAACATTTACAAAACCCACTTTTCAATAATAAATCATTTGGGAAAGAAATAGCACCATAACAGAGCTTTTTTCAATCACTTTGACACACTTTGACAGGTTTGACATTCTTTGACACAGTTCACACAGACTTGCACACTGGATTTTATGTTATTTTATCGAAATACTTAAACCAAGTTTCAAAAAAATGTGCTGAGAAAAAAACAAACAAACAAACAAACAAAAAACAAACAAACAAAACAGCAACAACTGTAAAGAGATGTACCTCAGGGTTATCGAGCTACATAACTACATAACTGCAGCCTTTGTGATTTGATATCATTTCACATAAAACATAATCATAATAATACATTTTATTTTTACAGCACTTTTCAGGACAATCAAAGATGCTATACAGAACACATATTAAAACAGTCAAAAGAAAAATAATACAGCAAAAAATAATCAGGAAAGAAGACAGAACTGACTCTATCTTACAATGGCCAAAAGCTCCTGCAGTGGTAGAATTAGTGAAAGCATTAGACCAAAGTGGAGCAGCCTCACAAATCTTGCTGTTAAATTGATGCCATTACCTGTGCTCCTCTCAAAGGTCAGCCTGTCTCTGAAAACAAAGAGTCTGTGCCTGTATCTGTGTTTACGCCCAGAGCCATAGAGCCACAGAGGCCTCCTGTTAGCAAACAGCTTTCATCTACAAATGGACTAATTAGGCAATATTGTCTATCTGTCTAAAAAGAAAGGAACAGAGCCCATTTATATAAGTATAGTATAAACTAAAAAAGGAAACAATGAGCTCTTCTTGGAACAAGAGACAGTGGCCAGTATTTCAGCCCATGGAGTACAAAGGTGACAATGTGTGAAACCAACGCAACTCGAGGTCACATGAGGTGAAGAAAGAACTTTATAACTCTGCTGTTAACATTAAAAGGCCCATATTACATTATTTTCTGATCTGTGTTATAATGCTTCATTGTTTTAAAACTCTGTACACCCTCACTAGAATCATTTGGATAATTTCAGCCCTGGAGTAAAGGTAAAAGGTGTTAATGTGAAGCTACTGGTTCAGGGGGGCCAGAACATTTTGAGCTTTGGATATGTAGACAAAGTAATAATGCAGGATTACTCACACGTGTGAATAAAACAAAACACAACTCTGGATATATTTTTGAGGAGGTAACAACAATTTAACATGGCTAAAAGCTCACAAGAGTCAATTTAGCATAATATAGGACCTTTAAGAAATTACATGATTTCACTATTGATAGAAGAAAAATATTACCATATTCTTAATATTACACTGTAATAATTGACATTACACCGTCAAAGCTGTATTCTAATTTTCCCTCTTTGAAAGTTCTTCTACGGTGACTGAGAAAAGGGCAGTCTGCTGTGGCCAAACAATTTCAAAATCACATCAAACATCAAAAAAAAAAAGAAGAAAAAAAAGAAAAAGAAAGACATCAAAACACTGTCAAAATAACATTTTCACAAGCCTTAAAGCATGAAATATCTCTCTGTCCTTGTATTCAAATAACATTTTTTTGTTGTCATGCGTTTAGCCCTTGTTTTTCCTCTGCTGACTGCCCCCCACCTCCTCAGCTCCTGAGGGCAGATGACCTAAATGGCTGGTCAAAGTGAGATATTTTGAGACAGTTGTAGTTTGGTAGCAGGTTTTATGAAGGACTCAATATGCAGCATGGCAGTGTGCACCACTTTTGCGCTGACAGCATATGCTTGAATGGCCACATCACAAGACACACTTCGTTTCATCCTTGGGGTGAGAAAATTAGTGGAGACAGGGGGTTACCTTGACGACGAGGCAAAGCTGTTTGGCAGAACTAACTGCATTTGTGTGAACAAGGCTTCTGCTAAATCTCTCTGGGCTCTGTTTATGGCCTGCTAATTTGACATTCATTATCTATAAACAAACAAGACTTCACTAAAACATGTAAACAGTATGGACTACAGGGAAGCATCTGCACACCATTTACATTATAACAGTATTACAGTTTGTATGTGGACCTGGCAAAACCACAGATTATGTAATAGACAATGTATATACAATATCAGATATTTTAGCAGTCATTTAGCATGATCTGTAGCTAAATAAAAAAAAAGATCTATCTAATCTATTGAAAGAGCCATAAACAGTGCCGCATTAACTGTGTTATAGTTGTCTGGTCCAGATTCACTTTGTGGACAGATAAAGTTCTTTTAAATAGTTCAATCATTAATCTATGTCTGAACAAATCAGGCAAGTGATGATGTATTACTGTGATTCTTTTGTCAAAGATGGGGGTTATGTCGGAACATGTCAAGATAATGCACCACGTCTTACCTATTGTTGGATACAGATGGAGATAAAACATAGACAAGACAAAGTAGACAAGACAAATATTTCGAATCTTGTTATTCTTAAGCCATGCACGCACCCTAAAATTAATATTAACAATGTGCTAAATTTAGCCACCATTTGCTTTGTCGAAAAACATTTAGTAGAATTTTTTATTTATTTATTTTTTTAAACTTTTTTTTTACTCTATAATTCTATATTATCATCAAATTAATACCAACCAAGTATCTTCTTCAGGGCTTTATATTGTATTGAAATCACCGCCAAACTCAGGCTCAATTATGTGGGGTGTCCAAACTTTTGACTGGTAGTGTACATTAAATATGACTGAATTCTGAAAATATATTTGATACACAATGTCTGTACTTCTATCTATACGACAGATTTGCCTTTTCAGAGACGGCCCTGTTGCTACACTGGTGATGACATTTCATTTGCTTTGAATCCTGTGGTGAGTGTGTGTGCTGTGAGTGACATCTCCACAAAATGGCTGTTTCCCAAAGAACACAAACAAAAAATCCAATAGTACCTGAGTGACAAGCGGGCCACTCCAATCAGGTCGTGTGCTGCTCCATATTGATCCGCCGCCTGAGACATTTATAAGATACGCCACAATCACATTTACTGCCCCTCTTCACAGCTCCCAGACACTGATTGGCTGTTTAGAGGCAACAGACCCAGAAAAATATTGACAAACTATTACCTGGACGCAGATAAGCCATAGCGGACAGTATTATTAACACTTAACCAGGTTCAATATTGGACTGGAAAAATGAAAAGATAACATTGTTTTATGAGAAATATTGGATCTGATGTGATTCCCCAGTCATTTAGTCAGCTGTGATGTGTGGACTTTGGTTAGAGGTCATTTAATCTTTTTTAGTCAGCCTTGTTTGTACGGCAAATATGGAAAAGAAAAGGGACATGTATATTCTCAGGATATTTTTGCCTGTGTTCAAGATTTTTTAAGTTTTTCAGAATTAAATTGTGATTGATTGTTTTGCTGTGTATGTTAAATAAACTTTTTTTTTTTAGTTTATTTAATTTGAATTATTTTGTGGCAAATTGTGCTGGAGCAAGAGAGATGGAGGAGATGCTATTACCTTGCATGTTTTTCAAAGTGGTGTGAGAAAAAGTTCTTGTTCTTTCCAAACACAAGGGCATGGGTAATGGCCTGCAAATGCCATAACTCATGCCAAAACAAGCATACAAAAGCAGAGCCGGATCCCTAATGAACGAACCAGAGCCAGACCCCTAACGAACCAGAAACACATACTTGTCGGCATAGCAACCAGGTGTCACATACAAAAGTAGTTACATTGACAACACGTTAACAGTTAGACCTACAAAAAACAAACAAACAAAAGGTGCCAACTCTGAACTACACACAAATATCAGATC